GTATTAATTAAATTATAAATATATCAATTCATAGGAATGTGACTGAAAATTTTCATTTTTTTCTGGAAGGGTGGTGTCTATTTACTTGTGACCACGCTGTGTATATAATTAAATTAAAGGATGAACTATTTAATTTTGAAAATATATAAATGTCTAGCATATGATTATACATTCCGTACTCATAGTTTTGAAACGAAAAAGGGCCTACGTCAACATATATTCTTTGTAAAAGGAAAAAGAAATTTAATTTACTCCTTCCTATTTTATTGTTTGGGAATTGGGCAAAAGATCAGGATTAGCCACACACGCACAAAAGTTTACAGTGACAGTTAGGCTAACGAAACAACGAATCCGATATTTTGGCAATAAAGATAGAAATAAAAAAAAAGACCTTTACTTATCAGATATTTTGGCAATAAAGATAGAAAGAAAAAAAAAGACCTTTACTCATCAGATATTGATAAAAAAAACAATTTTATTTCAGCCATCGTTTCGCCATTGCAGCTTCATTAGGACTAGTAGTACAAACAGTTCTTGCACTACTAGCCCTGATGAAGCCATAATGGCAAAATGTTGGCTCAGATAATTTTATTATTAATATTATCTGGAGAGTAAAAATCTTTTTTTCTAACTTTATTATCAAAATGTCTAAATCCCTCCAGTATGCACTACAAATTCTGAATCCAGTGTTTACTAAAACGAAATATTAACCGTATGGAAGATTAGGAGATTCTGTACCATAGTCACGAGAAAAAAACTATTCATTAACTACTGTGACTGTATAATGGGAGAAAGTCTCTGATGCAGGTATGACAAAAAAATATCACGGTTATTTTAAATATGTTCACTACACGAGACAGACGTTCTGCAGTGTTTTTATAACAAAATAACTAACTGCACAGCGTACCATGATAAACAATCTGTAATATATATTTAATGGATTCAATAAATAGGCTAAATAAGTTATTTCTAGATATTCACTGAAAGAGAAGCCTGTAGTGCTAATTTTTACGAAAGAACTTATTTATACATTCTCTTTTTAAAGAAGAATAAGGAATGTTCAACATTACACAAGTTCCTAATCATATATCTAACAAAATAATTTCAACACATTAAAACGATATAAACATCATATAACGCAGTATGCTTTTATTATTACTTGTAAAGTGGAAATAGTAACCGTTATAGGAGTTTCTTAATTGTTAAAATCAAAACATTTTATGCAAACAAACCTATAAGGCAGAAGTGATGATGAATCAATCAGAACTTTTCTATGTCCAAGCACCAGCAAATCTTGCAGTTCACCTTCCAGCCCCTTCCGATTTTGCATCATGGCGCTGAAGTTGCATGGCGAATATTAATTTTGTTGACGTGAGAAAATGTATGACGAAAGCTGTATTCTGACAATGATATCCAATGGTCTAATTTTATCATACGTCGTGATTGATCCTTATGTTAATAACCTATAATAATAATAATAAAAAAAATATAATATATATATATATACATGTTACATCAACAGACACCATAATATCCAGGTGGGACCTCTTCCCATAGTATTATTATTATTATTATAGGTTATTAACATAAGGATCAATCACGACGTATGATAAAATTAGACC